TTTAAAGATTTGGGTGAAGACTGGAATTGGTGCTTTCATTTCCATTTATGAAGAGAGCATTCTTACCCTGAGCATTGTTTACTCCCTGAGCAATTACAGAAATAAATGTTAACATCCCTATCACTCTAACAAAAAATTCCAGCTCCTTAGATTTAGGTGAAAAAATACACTGCTTAGGCAGGCTGCCACTTTAGCAAGTCTAGCAACTCAGGTGCACTAAATTCTCACAATTGAAAAAGCCCTGGGAGAATTTCAATGCTATTGTTTTGGAGACTTCCTTTCACCCTGCTTTGAATTTGTCCCAGTTCCAATTTTAAACAATAAATTACAAGCTTTAAAAAAGAGAGTTCCATTCAATATCGAGAAAAGGGAAAATGAATCCCTGAACTGGATGTCAATTACAGGTCCCTGAATTGGGCGGTCTGAATTCTTCAGCTAGTAAATTCAATCACGGGGTGTTTTGTTATGTTTTGGTTTGATTTTTGGCTTATTTCTTTGTTTACTTTGTTAATTTTTTAACAAGAAGTTTTGTTTAAAATAGGTCCATCTTTCTGTGTTATTCATAGTTGTTGGACCATCACAAGTGATGAAGTAGTGGAATTTATTTGAATTGCCACTTTTCATTATCTTTAAAAAAAAATGAACCCTCAAAATAGTAACTCTTAAAGGATAATCTACCAGCAAACATCAGTAGGCCAGACATACTGGCAGTCCCAGTCAATCTGTAACTGAAAACTAAAAGTGTAGCAGGAAATCCTAATAATGAAACTTGCAGGATTAGAGAGCTGATGAAGCAGAAAACAAAAAGTAGGTGATACTGCTAAGAAGTGCAGCCTTGACAGTTGTCATGTCTTTGAGGATTTTCTTAACATGTGGGTGGATCTTTATCTATTTTTGCATTCACTTTAGTTATCCAAAACAACCCTTGGCTCTAGATTATTTTCCATCCTCTTCTGAGATAACACCACATAGCGAGGATCAACAGAACTATCCCAACAAGCATATTTTGCTCAGTCTTTCCCAAAGTAATAGAGAGTTCAAGTTATCATATCTTAATGTCATGTGGTGCTAACTCACACTAAAAAAGGGAGATAACAAGACTGCCCAAGGAGGTGGGAGGGAGGAGGTGCATGTGAACTTTGTTCCAACCAAGGTCCTTTTTTCTCTAGGGGGCTAATGTGTCAAGCTTAAGCGGTGGCAAGAGGTATCAGAGTTGGACAGGGTAGAGTAAGAAAATAAGGAGGGCAGTTCTGCCATTAGCTCAAAAATACCTATGCCCATCTGAGTCCCACAGTTACAAACTGGATAATTTCATCTTGTTTTGCCAATGAATCACAAAGTGGACTTGTGAGGAGAGAAAGCTGGCACCTTTCTCTCCTCTGACACAAAACCTTTTATATTTATGCATCAAGTAGGGATTTGTTGGAAAGATCAAATCTTCATGGCAATCATACCAACACTATTTTCTGCAGGGAGTCTGAGTACTTCACTGTCCACTCCCTTACCCTCACACGATCATATACCCCTGGACTCTGCATTTGGTCCCACACAGTCTGTGGTTGCAGGATAAAGACTCAAAATGTAGACTGGACCAAGACCTTCAGGACATACTTCCTGGATCTGTTAACTTACTCTGTTGACCCTCATCTCACCTCATGCTGAGCACAGCCCATACGCTCAGAGACTGTGGGTCTCTTGGATGAAAGCCACATAGAAACTCTTGTTCAGCCAGCAATTCCCTCCAAGTTTCCTTCAGTTATCTCAGAAGGCAGAGGCCATATCTTCAGGCCCTTCTTAAAGGCCAAGGAGAAACCAGTTCATCATGTAGTAAAGACTCTTAGCCCTAGTAGAGACACTACAGGCATCGTGCATGCATAAAATAATACCTTTAGAAGAACTTGGTGCCATTTGTTGGAACCAGTCTCACCTACTTGCCCACTATATACATATCTGAAGTCATAAATTTATCCAATTAAAAGAAAATGTTTAGGGCCCAGCGGATGGCTTAATGGTTACATCATTGGACTCCCACATAGTCAACTGTAGTTCAACTCTCAGACCCAGCAGCTTAAAATTCGTGCCAGGCACATGTGCATACATGCTCAAAAATCCCAAGAAGAGAATGGAGAAAGGATTACAATATGGCCAACTCCCTGGAGATCCTGGAGAGAGATTTCTTGCTTTCTGTGTCTCGGTCTCTCCAGTGAGTACATGCTTCCTATAACAAAAAAAGAAAGAAAGAAAGAAAGAAAGAAAGAAAGAAAGAAAGAAAGAAAGAAAGAAAGAAAGAAAGAAAGAAAGAAAGAGAGAGAAGGAAAATAAAAGGAAATGTTTGTAGGATTAGAAACTGCTGTATTTTTATATTTTTTCAATGTGCAATAATGCTATAGCTACTAAACTGAGTAAAACAGTATGTACGAAGACAATGAAAAAACACAAGTGAGGGCCTAGAAAATGTGTACCTTTGTAGTCTCTCAACCTTGCCAGCCCCCGGAGAAAGGCAAGTGTACCTTTTGCATAAAAGGAAGAAAGTCTTAAAGTAGTGGTTATGAAGACTATTCTGGAGTGCACACCATTCGTGGCCTGCTCAGGCTTCTAACAAGTGTAAGGCAAAACCAGTACATGTATACTTGCTACCCAGAAATACATCTGACTTCAGCATCCGTAACCCTTGAAACACTGGGCTTGTTATAGAGTCAACCCATGTTTCCGCTCTACAGGAATCTGTGTTAGCACTAGGAACAAGCCAAAAAGAATCATTTAGTTGGCTTTGGAACACCCAAAGCTGGACTCTTAAACATTCCTTTAGTGAGGTGAGCCAGTTGGCCATGTTTGTTAGAACTATAGAAATTGGCCAGCCCCATGGCCTGGTGATTAAGGAAGCTGGATCCCACATGGCTAACTGTGCAGTTCAAGTCTCAGGACTGGCAGCTTAAAAACATACCACCCATCCATAACTAAAATTCCAAAAGAAAGTGGAAGTGGAAGAGTAGTAATTGTGGCATGACTATGCCCCAGGGGGGTGCTTTCTTGCCTCTCTTTCTCTCCAGTGAGCACCTATGCCCTCTGGAAACAAAATCAAAATATAAAAAGAACTAGAGAAATCTGACGGTCCTGCAGAAATCTTATTGGGCTCATAAATGTAGGGGAAATCCTCTCAGGTAAGCTGCCTACATATTTAATCTTCTCTTTTAATGAAAACCTGGGAATGAAGTACTCAGTGGTACATGAGACATACTAGAAAATGCACATATCTGCAGTACCTGCATATATGCTATAAATTACATCACATTTACCATCAAACATACATGGTTTTTCAGATGCTTTAAACAATTTTTAAGTTTTCTGTTAACATTGTCCTAGATCTGACTTCTGTCTACCCATCACACATGCTTTGTGTTTCTGGGTTTTACCCTCCATTATTACCCCAAAGGTATATCTCCTACTGGACATCATGTTATAAATCATTTTGTAATTTTCAATAAGCTTTGGTTAGGTCATGTGATTTTGAAGTAGGCACTTCCCTTATCCTTGTCATCTGGACATTTCAAAAGTGGTTATTGTAGGGACAAGCAGTTAGAGTAATGGCTATGTCACTGGACTCCCACGTAGTCGACCGTGGTTCGCGTCCTGGACCTGGTGGCTTAAAACTCACGCCGGGTGCATGTGTGTGTGCGTGCCCAAAATCCAGAGAGGAGAATGGAGAAGGGATTGCGGTGTGGCCATCCTCCCTGGAGGGTGATTTCTCACTTTCTGTCTCTCTTTGTCTGTCTGGCGAAAAACTTCTCCAAAAAAAAAAGTGATTATTGTAGAAGACAATCCACAGCATGAAGGACAGAGTCTTTCAAATCCTCGCAAGTGTAAAACTTGGCTTTGTTTTATACGTGTATACCTGTAGTACTGTCTCTGAAACAAATGGGGAAAAAGAAAAAATGTTATTCCTTGAAAGTACCTGAATGTTCTGGTGATTAAATTATCTTTTTTCCTGTTAGTCATGTAGGTGCATTCATGTGTGCTTTGGTTATAGTGAAAATATGGTCTTTGGTTCGACCTCACTTTGTAAGAGAACGTGGATGAGAGCCTATTTTGACCTTCAAAGGAGTAGATACTCACAAGTCACCTGAGGGAATGAAAGAATGCTATGAAAGAATATTTCAGAATAGTGTTGATTCACAATTCTGCCTTTTTTAAAAATTTACTATAGGCCATATGTGCTTGCTGGAGGAGGTGGGGGAGCGTCCCCCATAGAGGATGCTTGTTGCAATCCCTTTTCCTCTACTCTCCTCTTGGGATTTTGGGCATACACCTGCACTCCTGTCTTCCAAGTCATTGGATTCAGGACTCAACAGTGCTGTCGGTCATGTGAGATCCAGGTGCCTCAACCACCATGGCCCCCAACTCACTATTGTAGTACAAGGTTCAGAGCAGGCCACTCATTCGGCAGGCACAGCAGCGGCCACAGTGGGGTCTCCGTGATAAACTTTCCTGTATATGTGCATCTGCGTCTGTTCGCGTAAGGGTATAAACGTTTGACTGACTTGACCCATCCTCACCCTCAACATGATGCAATTTCAGGAGCACTTGGAAGGTATGAATCTCCACCAATAACATAAATTCCATAATTAGAGGCTCTGTCCTTTACCTTAAGTTTTCTTTCGTTATGATACTAGTAACCCTTGGGTAATACTACCATTTAGAGTCAGGCCCCTGTGCAAGTGAAGCTGTCTGACTCTGCTGAGTGCTGGGCTTGGTTTTCAGGAAAGTAGAAGGGACAGATAATACCGACTGCCCCTGGAGAACACAAGACTTGGGGGGGAGGGGGAAATTCAAGAGAGAATAGAGTTGCTCCAAGACAATTCTCACAATTATTCTGAGGGCCAGAATGACAGACATGTTTCAAAACATATGATTTAACTAGTGATACCAAAAGAGGCCTTTAGCCTCGGAAACAAGATAGAAGGAATAAACAAATAGAAATGTCATAAACAAGAGTATTTTACCTCTCCATTAATGAACCTGCCTCCTCTTCCCCAAAAGGCTTCTGTGTTTCTTTGACTTATTCTTGTCTGTGGACCTCCAACAAGGCCCGGTTGTCTTTTAAACATTCAGATTACCATTGACCATGTCCTGCATTGCCCTTGGTAAGAAAAGGAATGAAGCCTCAGATTGCAAAATACTTATAAACAAGAAAGTTTAGAGTAAATTTTCAAAACAAGCCTTTGTGACAATTATAGAGGTCAAGAAGGGAAAAGTGAAACCAGACAGGGCAGAGAGGATAACAGAGTGGAATAGAACTCCCAGCCCTAGGTCTCCGAAGCCAGCACTCTGAAGATAAAACATCCACAGCCCATACTGGCATCTGGCTGATGCCCTACCCTCTGAGGGACCGGTCTCATCAGCAGGGTTTATGTGAAAGGAGACTGATTTCAGTTTCTCCTTCTTGGACATGAGGAATCCTCCGTTAGTGTTTGTGAGGGAACACACGTTTTCAACCTACAGGTTGGCCGAACGGTGCCGGTTCAGGAAAACCCAGCTCTGGTGGGCTCATTGTTATCATGGTGACCACTATTCTTCCACCAACGTCTTTCATTGCCTCTGAGTGTGTTCGTGAGACAAAGAACCCAGCTGAGACTTCCACAGAGAAGAATGCAGGGAAAGGGCAGAGAATACCTTGAGCAAGAATAGCCTGGAAGAAGCCAAAAGTGGAAAAGGAAGTCTAATTCTGTCCTGGTCCAGGGGAAAAAAGTTTTTTGAGAAATGTAAACAAATCAGGAAATCCTGGCACTTACTCCAGTTCCGATCTGGGGAGACGTACAGGTCCTTTCCCGAGCAGTGAGCTGCTGTTTGTGAATGAAATCCAGATAAAATGATTCATTGAGCCCCACCAGCCCCACAATTTCCAGCTTTCCCTTTGCCTATGGCATAGCTTAAACCTTAAAATAATAATAATAAAAAAAAACATATGCATGTTATTAACTCTCGGTATTCAAATGGAAATTCAATGCTATCATAAATCTCTCTTTTCTAATGTAAATTCCTTTCTCCAGCATGAAGCTGCAGGAAAGCCATTGTATCTAAGTAATCTAAACTTGAAAGAGAATTTTTTGTTAAACCAGTTATGATAGGGGAAACATGTTTTTCACTGAGTCGAAAGATTAAAGTTGGTTGTAAAAAGGGGTGGGGGACTCAAGGAGAATTATTGGTTGCTCAACTAATGATTAGATACAGAACTTCAAGGACAAATTAAGAGGCACAAAAGAAAGAGTTGTGCAGATAAGTGAAAACAGTTCCACTGATATTAAATAAAAGATGTATTGTTTATCTTGGGTTGTAATCTCCAGTCTTCTATTCATCTCCATCTAAGCAATCCCCTGCACCCCATTAGCTACTTCAAGTGTGTTCTGAGCACCACTACACAACACATCCACAGACTGGAGTGTGTAGCTCCCTTTCTCACCACCAGAACTATTCTCTCATTTTGCTACTCTAGAGACTTCTTTTTTTCTTTAAGTTCATTCCTTTTTTTCCATAAGAGAAGGGCAGAGACAGAAAGGGATGAAGAGAACAAGGTCTCCATGTTCAGATCCACCTCCAGTCTCAGTTAGCCCAGATCATGGGCTGCAAGCAAACCCGGTGTGCTCAGGGAAATCCCAGGACATGAACCCAGGACCTTTCCCACTGTGCTACCTCCTGGCCCCTCGGCATATCTTTTAATGAGCCTTTACCCAAGCAGAATGTGACATGGAGTATAAAAGAATAGTAGCCTTTGTCATATTTCCTTTTAAAAAACATACTGTGAGTGGGAACCAGCAGTTAGCGTAATGGCTATGTCGCTGGACTCCCACGTAGTCAACCGCGGTTCGTGTCCCGGACCCGGTGGCTTAAAACTCACGCTGGGCGCGTGTGCGTGCGTGCCCAAGATCCCGAGAGGAGAATGGAGGAGAAGGGATTGCGGCGTGACCATCCCCCCTGGGAGGTGATTTCTCGTTTTCTATCTCTATGTCTCTCTGTCTATCTGGCGAGCGCACACGCCCTACAGTGAAAATCTCTCCAAAAAAAAAAAAAACAAAAAACATACTGTGAGTTCTTTCACTGATTTCAAAGAAATTTCACCCAATACCGTGCATCCCTTGATTCAAGTGGATCCACTAGTTTCTTTTGATTTGTCACTCTGGTCCCACATTATGACCCCTCTTACCCTCTTATGCTTACAAACCTATCCCAGGTCCCTCCTTTCAAGTGACTTCCCTCCTTTTGAATGTAGACTTAATCTGGGCATGTAGCAACAAGAATGTATTCATATATTACAGAACTACAGGGAGTAAAGGGGGCTCTTAACTACAAGGCTTCCTCTACCTCTGATATTAGATACTCACAGACAACAGGTTTCTCTTAGAGGAAGGAGATAATGGCACTGAGAAGGGCTAAGGTCTAGGCCATGCCTGGAAACCTCCACTGCAAAGCAGGGTCTGACCTTTAATTCCTGAGGCAAAAGCTTTCTCAATTGACCTTTAGAAATACAATACAAAAGTATACAGAGAAAACATATCCCTGTGCGCAAGTGCAAAATATTAACTCTGTCCTAGAAGAGCAGTTTTGATAAAAAGAAACAATGAAATTGGAAATTCAAATACAGCAGGACAGAAGAGGTATACTTTTTTTTTTTTTTAAGATTGTTTGCCATAGGACACATGTGCTCCAGAGAAAGACAGTGAGAGGGAAAGTGAGAAATCACTCTCCAGAGAGGATAGCCACACTGCAATCCCTTCTCCTCCATTCTCCTCCTAGGATTTTGGGTGCTCATGCACATGTGATTTTTTCAAACCACTGGGTCCAGAATTCAAACCGCAGTCTGTCGTGTGGCAATCCAGCAACTTAACCACTATGCCACCTGCTGGACCCCAGGTATACTATTAACAGGTCTAAATGCTCATGCACATGCCTATAGTCAATTCACGATATTTAGAACTGAAATAGCATAACTGAGAATCATTAAAAAAAAAAAAACAGAACCAACCTCCTTACCAGAGTATATCATAGTCTCCTCCCCATAGGACCAATTTCTCCCTGATTTCTTATTTAATGTTCAACATTCAAGATGGAAGATTTAATGTTCTTTCTAGATAGTTCAGAGATTTATGACACCTATAGAAATGTTCATAACATCTGAGGTTGTGTAAAACTTTTGGTATTTGTCTCATTGTTACCAGAACCATAAAAATCATCACCTTCTTGTGAATGGCCAGTCTTTTCTTTCTTAACAATAAAATCCAGAGAAAAATGAAGTTGTCTCGAGTGTCTGCTTAAAGTAGGCTCTGTTGCCAGCTGTGTGTGTATGTGTGTGTTGAGGGAATGGTGTTGTCAGATCAGGGAAGGGCAAGAGAGAGAAGAGCAAATCATACTGGGTGTGTTTGAGGACTTCAAGGGGGACTTTGTCAATCTGTTTCTAGGGCAACTTGTTTTATCTGTCGGAAGGATGCTGTAGGAAGCGTATCATGCACGTTGCCCACTCCTTTGGCCTAGTCCAACCAGGAATGACTTCTCCAGAGTGCACACAGAGAAGGGAAGCAGGTGCTCCAGCTCCCAGCATCTGGTTTAGATGACCACAATGCAGAGAACACCTGCAGCCAGCATTTTCAGCCAAGCCTGGCCTTCCATTGTATTCAAGTGGACTTTCTGCCTTGAGCAAGAAAAAGGCATTGTTTATCAGATTTGCCAAAGATCTCCGGGCAGGTGGAGAGAGGCAGGATAAACAACTTAAAACAAAACCCAAGTGTAAGCAAAGCACCAGGAGACCTTGATTATTTGTGACTATTCAGGTAATCTTTCAACCTGACACAAATAAGTAAAGCTGAGGAAGAGCGAGCCAGACATCAGCAGAGACCAAGGCAGATTCCCAAGTTTTCCAATAGAACTGGCATTGGATAATCTTGTCCAAACTCTGGTCCTTGGGCTGCTGCAGAAAGCAAATTCTAAGGACCGGAAAGACTCTCAAGACTAACAACATTCACTGAAGTCCTATTTTGGGCAAGACTTTGTGCTGTGAGGTTAAAAAATGAATAGACACTCTTGTTCTAGAAAAATCTCACGCAGAAGATGGTACTACTTGCATGCCAGAAGTTCCATTTATACACTTTGTAATTTTTATTTCCTTAACTATGCTTTGCATGATCTAGATTTCTGCAAATTATGCCAAAAGTAGGAATCTTGGTTCAGAATTTTCTGATCAAGGTCAGCAGAGAAAAAGTAATTGATCTGGCAATATAATACAACCTTATGGTTGGTATATTGGGATCAAAATAAAATTTTAAAACTTATTTTCAGGAACAGTTTAGAGATGTGTGTATAGTGTATTTTGTTACTAAATAATTCTGCAGGAGCCCCTTAGTTTTCTTTCCTTTGTGTAGAGCCCCAACTAGTGGAAGACTGGAAAACTGCACTTAAAGATACACCATTTAAATGTGAAATGATCACTGGTCTTCCCACAGGCAAAGAGCCCTGTAAGATCTAATAGCTACTACTCATTTTGGAATGTGGAGAGGAGGGTAAGGTGCTAAAAGAACAGAAAGGTGTGAAACTGGCTTGTACTTTGCTCTTTACAGGGGTAAAGGGCAAATTGGTTCTGCTGAAAACATGTACAATCTCTTGTATTTGAAATGAGTCAATGCAGAGCACTAACTTGAGAAAGGAAAATATTTCTTGAGTTCAGAACTTATTCTTCTTGAAAGCATATTTTTGTAAGACATCTTTCTGAGAAAAAGGGAGAGTATATCCTCTGACACAAAATCATATACATTAATAGGAAAAAAAAGGCCCGGTTGCACAAATTAAAATAGTACCATAGCAAAAATAAGGCAGATTAGCAATATCGCCAAATGGTGCAGAACGGAACAGAGAAGAACATGCCTGTGTTGGAGTTGGTAAGACGGAAAGTAGAAGAATATGAAGAGGCAGCAAGAAAAGGAAAGGATTCGAATCCCACCAAATACGACTGGAGTAGAAAGGCCATGAAGCATGAGTTATGACATAGATTTTCCTAAAGGAATTGAATCTTAG